GTGAAAGAAGAAACCTCTCATGCCATCACCATAATCCCGTGCACTTCCCCCCTACTCCCCTGTTTTTGAGATCAGTCATTTTTTAATGAGAGAAATATACTCATGTGCCTTTGAATCTTTTATTAATAAAGTTAGCTTTTAAGGTAGATTCCTGTTGATTTAGTAATTCCTCTTAAAAGAATGTATCATAAGGTAGTAATCAAGAATATGGTTAAGGATTTATGTATGAGGATGTTCATCGAAGAAGTAACAGAATATTGGAAGCATATCCAACATTAAAAATTTGTAAGTAAGTTATAACACTAAATTATAGTATTAGATTGTCAGAAATCCAAAAGTATCTAAAGCCATTGATGGGTATAGCTCTACAACACAGGCTTTCTCATAAATTGCTGGAGGAGCTGACCCATGGAGACCAATTTGTCGAAACTGGTAGGTAATCTATGTACCCTGTGACTTTGCACTCCAGTTTCTGGGAATATTTTCTACAGGAACATCTTTACATGTATGAAGTTGTTATGCATAGGTTATGCATTCCATCATGACTTGTAAGTGCAAGAGATTGGAAATAGTTGAGGACTAGGTAAACTAGAATTTATGCAGAGATTCACTATATAGCTGGAGATCAGGAACATTGTATCTGCAATCAGTATAGTAGTGACTAGCTACCAGGGGCTATTTAAATCTGAATTGAAAAAAAAATGCAATTTAAAATTCAGTTCTTTGATTTTTCTAGCCACATTTTTAAAGTGAATTGAGGCTACCTACTTGGTAAATACAGCCAGAATACTTCCATCAATAAAAAATGTTGTATTGGACAGTGCTTCTTTGTATAGTGTGTATAAAAATACATTTAAGATGCTAGGTGGATTGAATTTATAGAAAAAAGTTTAGTTGATACAGCTATTGAAGAGTAGAAGCATAAAAGATTCTTGATGAATTATTTTTTAACTAGCCTTTACTGTTTTTGCAGGCAAACTTGAGCCAAGCATGCCTGAAATGTAACCTTCCTCAACTCATTGAATAGTGCATGAGCTAAATTCGCTGGGTGCTGTAGTAAAAAGTTAAAGCAGTAATCACATATTTTTTTTAAATTCTGAACTTAGGTAGTGGTAAATAAGAAAGGCATTTCATCTTTGTCCTTTTCCCTGGTACTTAGCTTCCAAAACCTTCAGAATCTCCTGAGAGATCTGAATGTCTTTAACGTACTAATGAGATAATGCTTGGTAAGGACTTCCAGTTTAGCTTTAGAAGGGGCTGGTGGCTTCATTAGGAATTCCGAATTTTTATTCCTGTCTCCCAACTTCCAGAGAGGGAAGAAGGAGTAGAGATTGAGGTAATCATCAGCAGCCAGTGATTGAAACAACAGTGCTTGTATAATGAAATCTCCATAAAAACCTCTCTAAATAGCAGATTTCCCGAAGCTTCCTGGATGGTAATTACATTATGGTATTGCCAGGGTGGTTTTTTTTTTTTTTTTTTAAAGATTTATTTATTTGTACATACAGAACCGGGGTACAGGCTAGAGGCTCAGGGGCGGTGAGAGGCCTCACCAGAGACAGAGCGGGGAGCAGAACAGGCAGACCGACGAAGCACACTGCTGAGGGGAGCAGCGGGTGGGTCAGGAGAGGTCTGCCACACCATGTGGTCACCTCCGGGGCAGGCGGGAATCGAACTCATGTGGAAGTGGCCTTAGCTTCTCAGTGCAGTGCTCTAACCCGCTACGCCACCAGGGAGGGCCTGCCAGGGTGGTTTTTATGGAGAGGATATGGAGCCTTGTCTTATGTCTCTTCCATTTGACTATTCTGAATTATTTTATTATAAGCTGGTAATAATAAAGTGCTTTCTGAGTTCTGTGATTTCATTTTAGAAAATTATCACACCAGGTCAGTCAAAAGTATGGGTGTCCTGACACCCGTGTGTGGCATCAGAGTGAGGCATCTTGTGGTACTGAGTCCTTTAATTTGTGTAATCTGACACTGATTCCAGGTAAACAGTATCAGAATTGTGTTGGACATTTGAGTTGAAAAATTGATGTCCTGATAAGGAAATAAAACTATGATACAACCCTTATAGTTGCAGTACACAATGAAATATTTATTTCAGAGTCTGGTATACTTTAATGTTGTCTAAGTATAATAACTAATTACCACCTTAATGTGCAGTGTTTTTTTTAAAAGGGGAATTTTACTATGTTTGAGATACTAATAATTAATTAATTAATTTTAAACAGATCTACAAAAAATAAGGAAGTCTCTCCTTTGGAAAATAAAGTTGCAGACTTTAGAGAGAAAGAATCATCTTTGAGTTTGCCTTACCAAAGTCATGACTGCTCTCGTGCCTGTCTGATGAAAATGCCATCAACTTTCAGAGGAGAAAACCCTCTGCAGCTACCAATCAAATGCCACTTCCAAAGAAGACATGCAAAGACAAATTCTCATTCTTCAGCGCTCCATGTGAGTTATAAAACTCCTTGTGGAAGGAGTCTACGAAACATGGAAGAAGTTTTTCGTTACCTGCTTGAGACAGAGTGTAACTTTTTGTTTACAGATAACTTTTCTTTCAATACCTATGTTCAGTTGACTCGGAATTATCCAAAGCAAGAAGATATTGTTTCTGATATGGATATTAGCAATGGAATGGAATCAGTACCTATTTCTTTCTGTAATGAAATTGACAATAGAAAGCTTCCACAGTTTAAGTACAGAAAGACTATGTGGCCACGAGCATATTACCTGAACAATTTTTCCAACATGTTTACTGATTCATGTGACTGTTCTGAGGGCTGTATAGACATGTGAGTAGAAAAACATTTCAAAAAATCTTCTGAATGTAGGGGAGCTTGTCAAGAAGTCCTTTGTATTAATTTGCCTGTCTTTTTAAAACTTGTTCACCAAGAATCTAAAATGGAAAGGTACTTCCTCTTATTATCAGTAGGAAACACTTTGCCAAAAATTGTAGTAATCTGAAAATAAGTTCTTCCAAAGATGAACATTTTCTTTGATATAGTACCATGATCATATAGTTCATGCCATGAAGTAGTACTAGACACTGTGATAAGTGTTTTATATACTTTCTGTTTGATGATCTTAAAACCCCATGGCACAGGTAATATTTCCTTGTTACAGGTGAGGAAGTCAAGAAGCCAATTAAATCTTTGGAAACCATTTAGTTTTATAGCATTTGTACATGTATTTGTAGGTAGTTATATAGAGCATCTCATTGGATTATATATATTTAGTATAAATTTGGCTACTTGTTCTAGGTAAGAGAAAACAAGTGAGAGAAGACATAGTTTTATATCATATGATTTTTGCCATCTGATCAGTTAGAGTGTAAGGTGATAGGCATATATTTGCTGCCTCCTCAATTTGGTTCAGTCCTTTAGGCCTGTGAAAGAAGAAACCTCTCACAGTGCCAAGGTTTATTCTGCCTAAAATTAAGTTTAGTTTTCGTAAGCATTGTCTCTAAATATAATCCAGCTACATCTGGCCAAGCCTAGTCTCTTTCAATACTGGAGAAAAAAAAAACAAAAACCAGCTTTTGGGTAATTTTTATGTTTTGGCCAGTTTATAGAATTTTTAAAAAAAGATTTATTTATGCATTACAGGAACTGGGGTACAGGCCAGAAGTGCTGGGCAGAAGGGAAGGTGGTGAGAGGATTCAGGAGAGACAGAGTGGGGAACAGAACAGGCAGATTAAAATACTCTGCTGAGGGGAGCAGTGGGCAAGATAGGAGAGGTCTGCTATGCCATGTGGGTCACCTCCCTGCCCAGGGATTGAACTCATACTGCAGTGGCTGTGGATACCTTCATAGTGCTGTGCTTTAACCCATTGTGCCACTATAGGGAGGGCCCTATAGAACTTTTTAAAGGATAGTTTTAATTATATGTTATTTTTGCCTTCAGACTATAGAAAATAATATTCATATAACATGTACCACTAGTATACATCCATTGCATCTATTGGTTAAAAATAACATAATAGAAATTACAAAAGTAAGCAGAGGGCTTCAAGCCTACTGAGATCTGGGAATGGACTGTCTCCAGGTATTCTAATCCTTACAGAATAGAAATTAAACATGAATGGCAGAGGGTGGACACTGAGCTCTCCAGGGAACTAGAAACAGGTACCTGCACAAGACTCGTAGCAGGATCTGGAATTGTGTTAGCAATAGCCAGGTTTAGTGCTGTGAAAACCATAGGTCAGGCCTAGAGAAATGGGAAGCTAGTAATGAACAGCTACCAGGGGAACACATAGGAATAACCCCATGTATGATATGAATTTCACGGTAAGGATAATATAAGCAGTGTTAAGTCCCAACAATGGTAATATTCACAATTGAAGAATCAGAAGTAAACGTAGAATCTGATTGAAAGGACTTTACGTGTGTTTTAAGTGTCCAAAGAGATAAAACATAATAGCATCCATGAAATAAAAAGTGAATTATTAAAAGGGGAAAAAAGGCTTATATGAAAGAACTGTTAAAAATAAAACATAGGATCACTGATGGTGTAAAAGCACACTTGTAAAGGTTTGAATCTATAACTCCTAAAATAGAATTATGTAAACCAACTAACTCAAAAATAAGGGGGGGGGGAGAAATAGGGTCATTGAAGTTAAAAAAAAGGTAGATTAATTAGTGGGGTTGAGATAACTAGAAGAAAGAATTGGTAAAAAAAAAAATAAGAAAGAAAGAAACCTCCCAGAATTCAGAGAGAGGTAGATATGGGGAAAATAGGTTATAGATTAAAAAATACAAAGTATTAAATGAGAAATTCCAGCATACATCAGAGAAGAAAGGAGCAACAATAGAGGTAAAGTCAAGAATTTTTTAGAATTGAAGAAAAGCAGGAATCCTCACAGGCAAAAGTTTGTGTACCAACAACAGAAAATAACTTGTAAATCTAATTATATCATGATACAACTTAAAGAGTAACTCTCAAATGGTATTAGAAAAGAGAAAAACTAGAACTGATAATCTGCCTTTTAATCAGAAATAACAAAAAGTACATTAGCTGAAAATGCTAAAGGAAAATAAATGTTTTAACTAGATTTCTCTAGTTAAAACATTTTAACTAGGGGAGAGGCTGTTCAACCGATTACACAGCCATTGAATACTTGCATGTCTGTTTCTAGGACTAGTGCTTTTAAGCTTATCTAGAGCATTTACCAAAGTATAGGTTCTAGTGGGATATAAAACCATACGGCATGACAACAATCAGTTTTTAAATTAAGGTATAGAAGTTAGCCAAGTTCATCAAACACAGTAAGAGTAAAGTTTCATGCCACTGTTTCATTTTATACAAGAAACACATATAAAATAAATACATAGACCAGCGTGGATTTTGTGAGTTCAGACAACAATAAAACAAGTCACACAGTTTTCTTTTTCCTAATGCTTCTAAAGGTTATGTTTACACCACATTGTGATTTCTTAATGTATGATGTTTAAAAATTACTATACATATCTTAATTTACCAAGTACTTTGATACTCAAAAATTCTAACTATCATCTGAGTATTGAGTGAGTCTTAATCTTTTTACTGGTGGAGGGTCTTATCCTGATGTTGACAGCTGCTGACTGATGAGCATAGTGGTTACTAGAAGTTGGGATCACAGTGGCAATTTCTTAAAATAGATGATAGTGAAGTTTGCCACATTGAATTTAATTTAAACCAGAAGCTAAAAATGACTTAAGCATGCCAAAAGTTGAGATAGACCGAAAGCTAGGTCTCTTATGTCAGTTAGCCAAAGTTCTTGAAGGGAATTAAATGTGCTACTCCATACAAATAAGAAAAAGAAACAATCTTACCGTTGATAGGAAGAAAGCCTGAGTGGTCCCGATGGAAAAATCAAACCAGTCACAATTTTTCCTTAAATCAAAGCCTAATCCAGATTAGGACCCTAACTTTTAATTCTTTGAAGGCCTAGAGGTGAGGAAGTCACAGAAGGCAAGCTTGAAATAGCAGAGATTGTATCATGAGGTTTAAAGGAAGAATCAATGTCTACAACACAAAAGTACAAGGTGAGGCAGCCAGTGCTGAGGTATAGAAGTTACTTAAAATTATCTAGAAGATCTAGCTAAAGTAAGATGATAAGGTGGCTACACCAAACAAGATTTTCATTGTAGATGAAACAGTTCAGATTGGAAGAAAATACCATCTAGGACTTTTATTGCTAGAGAAAGCACTGCCTGGCTCCAAAGCTTCAGAGGACAGGCTGGCTCTTGTTAGAGGCTAATGCAGCTAGAGAATTTAAGGTGACGCCAATGCACCTAAAGTGTTCCAGAGACCCCTGATTCCTTAAAAATGATACCAAGTCTACTCTGCCTGTGCAAATGAAACAAAGTCTGGGGGACAGGACATCTGTTTACAACATGGTTTATTAAACATTGTAAGCCCATTGTTGAGGGAGTCAAGTTATGCAGAGATTTTGACTATGCGGGATTGGTGCCACTAACTCCCATGTTGTTCAACAGTTATATATCTAAATACTGTGGGAAAAGTTAAAAGGAATTGGTGGACTTCCCAGGTTAAGTCTCAACACTAGCACAGCTAATGCCTGAGTGCAACCCCTCGCTAGGGAGCTAACCCCTATAGGGCCCAGCAGACTTCTCCTGTCTCAACCGCTGCTGCCCTTAGCAGTGTGTGTCAGTAAATCTGCCTTTCTGCTCCCCACTCTGTCTCTGGTGAATCCTCTTACCCCCACACCTCTGGCAGGTTCTTTTATGCATAAATAAAAAATAAATATTTAAAAAGGGAAAGAAAAATATGATAGTATCCAGCATTAGTCTCTCCATTCTGTTTTCATAACATTGAAGGTAAGGATTTTTAAGTCATCTGTAGAACAGTGTATACCCTTCTGAGTTTAACACACATAAGCTTATTCATTTTAGGAGACTTAGGAGAATTTTCACAAACCTATTGAATAGGAAATGAAGTGATTTTGAAAGCTAAAGAAAACTCATATAGTTAAGTATTTAATGAACAGATAGAGGTATAGGGTAATTTATATGTAAACTTTTTTTAAAAAAAACGGTTATGCATACAGAACTGGGGTACAGGTCAGAGGTATAGGCAGGTGCAAGGATTCATCAGAGACAGAGCGGGGAACAGATCAGGCAGCTCAACAAAGTACACTGCTGACGGGAGCAGCGAGCAGGTCCGGAGAGATGTGCCTTGCCATGTGGATCACCTCCGGGGTGGGCATCAAACTCCACTAAAACCAGCTTCATAGTGCTGTACTTATTAACCCGTTGCACCACCAGGGAGGGCCCTATATGTATAAACTTTTAGTAAATATCTTTAAAGAGATCTGTTTAGGGGAATCCAGCTAGCTGTCTGAGCCAAATGACTGTTTTAAATAGTTATATTCTTTGCTATTTACACTTTTATTAAAATAATCTCTTGATTTTTTTTTTTTATTTTGACATTTCCAACCATTGCTTTTCTTTAGAACAAAATGTGCATGTCTTCAACTGACAGCAAGGAATGCCGAGGCTTGCCCTTTGTCAAGTAATAAAGTAATCACTGGATATAAATATAAAAGACTGCAGAGACAAATATCTACTGGGTAAGATACCTTGAGGATTTGTTGCAGGGTGTTTGTGTTTTTCAAGGTGGGTACTTTATTTTTGTGGTCTATAGTCTATCATGTTTTTAATTTCTTATACCAAAAATCTAAATTATGAAATTAAACCCAGCTCCTATATATTCTTAGACTCACAGAGCACACACTTGTATCATACTTCATGTACTGAACACTTGCCCACTAGAATGGGCACTCAAGTGGGATAGTGTAGGGATTACCCTATTTTGGGCAGCCATTTCTCCTCTGAGCAAAGATTATCCAAGAATTGGGATTTTCAACCTTTCCAGGTTATTAAAAAGTAAGCAGGAACCAAAAAAATTTTCTCCCTAGACCTTCTTCTAGACATTTCCTTCTTAGACATTCCTAGTCATCTTTTACTTTTATTAAACTAATTTAGGTTTATTAAGCCAATGTTCATTTACAACACTGTGTTTGAGAATAGGTTCATACCTCTACAAATGTATGCTATCACACTGTATCCATTACCCAAAATCCCAATACTCCTATACCATAGTCCACTGAGCCTCCCTGCCTTTGTTCCATCCTCCTTTCTGGTAACCTGAATCCTCCTTTCTGCAACCAGATTTCAAGGGTTTATTTCGCTTGTCTCCTTTGTTGTTTATATACCACACATACGTGAAATCTTCCAGTGTTTGTCATTCTCCTTCTGACTTACTTCACTTACCATTAATCCTCTCTAATTTCATCCATGTTGTCACAAATGGCAAAATTTCATCTTTTTTACTAGTCATTTTAAAAAAGCTAACATTTTACATGTGCCTGGAATTATCTCACATTGTAAATAAGACTCAATATTTACCAAACAACCCTATCATATAACTGCCTTTTTAAAAAATGGAAAATCAGAGTCCAGAGAGATTAAATAATTAATTCAAGGTTACAGCACTGGTAAATACGGGAACTATATGTAAACCCATGTAGTCTAGTATCCTTCACAGTCTGCTTTCTTTGGTAATTACTACTGAGGTAACAATATAAACTGCTTTTGCTTTTAAATTAAGATGTCTAATTTTCTCTTGCATCTTTTATTGGCAGCATTTATGAATGCAACTTCTTGTGCAAGTGTAATCGACAAATGTGTCAAAACCGAGTTGTCCAACATGGACCTCAAGTGAGGCTACAGGTGTTCAAAACTGAGAAGAAGGGATGGGGAGTACGATGTCTAGATGACATTGACAGAGGCACATTTATTTGCATTTATTCAGGTAAGCAAAGGTTTATTTTCAAATTACTCTCTCGTAAAACCTGTATTTCTGCATCCCAAGTTTACTAGTTAGGGCCATTGGGATCTTATACCAAGGATAAGAATAACAACATGGAAGAGCATTAGAGGAAGGCACATGATTGGGAAACTGCACTGAATGAATGAAGTAAATAAATGTCTTAGAGGGTACCAGGTGTTCTAGAAAAGAAAAACTCAAAGATAAAATTTGATTATTGTGTAAGGCACTTTTTGGGGGTCTGCATGGCTACAGATGCTTTGGGGTAAGGAAATAAAACTTTTTAAGTAGGAAAACTAAATATTGACTTGCTATGGTAAAGATTATCATTTAAAGACTATCTTTGTTCAATGTTTTAGGCTATTAGAATTTAACATGAATTTTTTTATTTATATGTATTTTTTACATCATTGTTCATTTTTACACAATGCATGCTTCTGTGCTTTCTCCTTCCAGGTGTATCCCCTCTAAAGTTCCCCCACCAATTTACCCGTGAACCATTACTAAAGACTTGTGTTCTTCTTTCCTCTTAAGTTAATTTTCTAATAAATACCTGTTTGTGATGAATGAGGCAGTCAAGTAACTCACTCCATTTTAGGGACTTGACTTGTGCATTCTTAGTGCATTGCTCATTCTTTTGGGTCCCAGCCTCCAGGCCAAACACATTAGTTATCTGTAGCCTTGTCTGTCTTGTCTGTTTACCTGAGTGTCTGGAAAAAGCCTCACTTTATTACAAGCACCATAAAATGAAAAAGACTAGAGAAATACAACTCTAGAATTAGTCTAGGGCAGTTACACTGGACTGAGTCTTTGCAGCTAGGCAGCGGGAATCAGCAATCCTTCTCTTCTAGAGTTCCAGTACAATAATTACCAGAATTGAGAATAGCCACATCTGAATTCCTGCCACATACCACTTACAAACACCTAGTAAACAACATACTTAGATGTTCATCTCATCTTTCTCAAAATACCACTTGGGTGAAAATTAGTTACTTTTAAAATGCTAAATGTTAATATAGCCAGTATCACTGTCTTTATCTGCAATGCTTAAAAATGCACTTAAAGTGTCTCTGATAGATAAGTTATCTATCCAATAGATAATTTTAACTTGGTAACTCTAATTTTGAGTTGCTTAGAAGAAAATGCATTAAATTTTCAAACAAAGAGTTTAAATGCTATAATAAGATTTAATACATGATCAATAAGTGCATGTTACCACCGGTTTAAATAAGTTACTTTGTAAGGTATATAGATTTTAGTAAACCATTTACTGTATTTGCCAGCTATAATTTTAAGATTAGAGTTCACCTTTCTTATTTTTAAAGTGCTTTCTGATCTGTATTTTTGTTTTATATTATTGAAACTAAGTCTTGTCTCTTTCATGTTACAACAAAGCAGGTAAATGTTTTCTTTAGATGACTTGGACGCCCAATGGTCATCCAATATGTTTCATATTTGTTCATATACTGACAAATATGAAATCTCATTTATCTTTTTTTATCATCTCTTGCAATAGATGTCTAAGATGAGTTGATGTGTTTATCTCCATTCTAGAAATAAGGTATAATTTCATGGGACTCTTTAATAATGGAACAGAATAGAAATTCCCCATTGTTGTTATTATCTTTTGTCTTTGTTAAACTTCTTTGTTTTTTTCTTTTAGGAAGATTACTAAGCAGATCTAACTCTGAGAAACCTAATGCTTTTGATGAAAACAGAAAAGAGAATATTACAAAAAATAATTTCTCAAAAAAGAGAAAAATAGAAATTGCAGATTGTGAGGTTGAAGTTATCCCATTAGAATTGAAAACATGTGCTAGAAGTGCTGAGACTGAGACGTGTTCATCTAAATTCAGCAATAATCCACAGAAGTCCATTATGTAAGTAAGATCTTAGAAACCAGTCAAGATTGATCTATGTAGATCAACAGTGGTTCTTTTTCTTTCTTACTTTCCTCCCCCACTCTTTATACTAGCATATATAAACTTACTTCACAGTTGTTAAGTTTAATAGTGTAGAAATCTGGGATATTTAAAATTTAAAAATCTAGCCAATATATTTCACTTCTGGAGGCTTACCTAACTTCATAATTTTAATCAGATTCTTATGGATGCCCTATTTTCATGTTGTTTTAATTTTCTATCCCCATTTTATTTGCAACATTGCATAGCTTTTTTTTTTTTTTTTCATTTCTTAACATGCTAGAAAGAACTGACTTTAAAATATTCTGTTTCCTTCTATTGAGGTTTAGATATAGATGTCTATTCTTGGATTAATTTCTATATTTCAAGGTCCAATAAAGAAAATTTTGTGATATGAGAAATAACTTTTTTTTTCCTTTTCAGAAAAATGAAATGTAACTCTGTGACAAGAATTCAATGTCATTCAGTCATTAGAAGTCCTAAAGCCAAGACAGTCATAATTCAGCCCAATGGAAAAAAGATGGTAAAAACTACAAAATGTATATGAGGCCCTTCTGAGAACATTAACCCTTCCTTCATCTTACTTTTACTTTGTTCATATTGTTTGTGTTACTTAACAATGTGTAGGATTGCTTTTTTTTGTTTTGAAATGGATCTGTTGTTGAAGTGTTAGGGTTATGTTCTGTTTACTTAGTGTCCTCCATACTAGTTTACATGCTCCCAACAGATACGTATTGGTCATGATCTGACAGTGTGTTCCAGTGAGATGGAGAGCTGTCCAGTTCAGTGAATTTGTAGGAAAAGCTAAAGTATTTAGGATAATGAGGTAATATTGTTAGATGTAGGAGAAAGAAGAGATGTAACCTAATGAAATGGTCATCCAGGAAGAAACATTTTACATAGTAGCCACTTTTCACCCCAAACTGAGAAATATAAACAGTTATAAAGTCTAACCTTAGAGCAAAAAAGGAACACAGCAAGAATGAACAGAGGCAGTCATAATAGTAATTCACAATAGGGCTTGTTGATGTAAACTAAAAACTCTACTCTGAGTAATATACCCTCTCACTATTAACATAGATGATACCTCATACCTCCTCACTATCACAGCATTATAAAGATTGGTCTATGGAATTACATAGGCCTGGAGTTGACCAACAACTCTGCTTTTTACTAGTTGGGTGATCTCTCCATGTCTACATTTCTTTATCTGTAAGACGAGGATAATAGTGTCTCTCCTTATTATATTAAGGATTAAATGAGATAGACATCAGAAACTTAGTGTAGCACAATGCTTGGCATCTAAGTATTTAGTAAATGTTGATTAAGTAATTGAATAATAATAGTAATAAGGGCCAACATTTACTAAGCAGATAATTGAGTGCCAAGCATTGTTGTAAGTTAAAAGTTATATTACCATTTAAAATGACTACACTGTCTGTAAAGGTTAACCTTTTCTGAAGTAGAAGTAGCATTTGTCTTTCCACAGCTTATAGTTGAATCCTAATTTACAATATGGTATCAGAATTAAGGGCTACAAACAGATGTATTTAAATTTTGAATTTTAATTCCTACAGAATGTTCTACCAAAAACACAGAGACCCACCATTCCAAAGATTCCTTATGATACCAATTTTAAGGCTTTTCAAAACTAATCTCATAGCTACAACATGTGAAGAGCAACACTTTATGAAAGAGGCCTAACTGTAGAATTCTTTTTCCTGAGCTAGAAAGTAAAGACATGTTCCTTGGTTTCTTTTAAGGGATTTGCTTCTGCAGAATCCGTCATCTCACAAAATAGTGATGAATGTAAACTAGCCCAAATATATCCAAAGTCTAAAGACAACGAAATGAAAGGTAGGTCTTCTTTCACTCCATGATTGCCTATTTCTTCTACCGTTTTGTCTCTTGCTCAATACTGTGTCTCCATTTTCTCAGACTTGTTAACAAACATGCTGCATTCATCACAAAAGTTATTGTTTGTCTAGATCAGAGGTTGCAAACTATGGTTTGTGGACCAAATCTCACCCCCCACCTGTTTATGTAAGTTCAATGATCTACGATGATTTTTACCATTCTAAATAACAAAAGAGAAAATTAATATTTTGTGACCTTTGAAAATTGCATGAAATTAAAATTTCATTATTCTTAAATAAAGTTTTGCTAGAACATGACCACATTAATTAATTTACAATTGCCTGTGCCTACTTCCATGTTACAATAACAGAGCTGAGCAGTCATGACAGAGACCATTTGGCCCAACAAAGTCAACAAGTATTCCTTATAGAGGTTTGCTGACTGCTGGTCTAGATGCTAACGTGACATAACGATAGGAGAGGGGTACATAGCCATGAGTCTTCAATGTCCACAGTGTTCTCCATGGCTTTGGAATTTTGTCCAAAACAGCCATTTCCTAACTCTTAATTTGAAACTCATTTATTCCATTTGATATGCATTCATACTTTTGAATACTGCCCACAAAATACTTACATTATTGGATAAGGAATATGATTAAGGAGTTTATCTTCCAAAGTATTATTTGTAAAACACATCATTCCCCTGTGTACTCTAGCCAACACTGCTGTAGAGGATGCCCAACAAAAAAGTAAAATTTGCTACACTGAGTGCTTGTCATTTGGTGGCACCTACTCTACCATAATAGTACAACCTCACAAAACTGGACATTGGTGTTTTTGCATTTCAGTATGTCCCTCAGTGGGGAGACATTGGCTAAGAGATGAACCCTTTTTGAAGAAATGACCAATGATTAGCCTCGAGGTTAATTGTATCTCCTTCACCAACTCCTCATCTGGTCTTAAAGAATAGAGGTTGAGGGGTGGGGGTAAGGTAGCTTCTTGACAAAAAATGACATTTATGTATTATAATTATTTCAGCATTATAGGGGAGGAAATTGTCTTTCCTCTGTTCATCTTAGGTATCTAGTTGGAAGATAGAGGTTTGATAGCAAAGTTCATATGTAGATTCTCTGGCCTACAGTCTGATAAAGGTCTTTCTTAGTAAATAGAGGAACATCTTTGTGAATTTTTGTCCTGTTTTTAGATAGGTAGAGGGAAGGTCGAGAAGTTTCTTTGAGTGCTGCTAATTTCCGTTAGCTCAAAATAATTCTGTTAAAGAAGCGTATTTTAGGAAGATTTTCATCACCATTTTAGGTTTGTGAACTGTAATAAGTACTATAGCTTGGGATTTTAGACATTTGCTATCACCTCATGGGGCAGCAGAGTTGGAGGAAGCATGGGATGAGGGAGAGATTAGTAAAACTCTGTGTGGAACAATGAGAAGCCTAGAGGGGCTGCACTGGAAGTAATGTGCAGCCCCATCCAAAGGCCTCGCCGCTGAGTGCACAGGTAGGGAATGCACTTGTGTGGGTGATGGGATCAGAGATGTAATCTAGTGTGGAGTGACTAAGGGCTCTTGCCTGGGTGCGCCATTATACCCGCCAGTCTAAACATATTATCTCTATTCTGATGCCTGCCTGCTGTTTTCAGCATTACTGGTTTTCCACATACTAGGATGTTTGCCCTTGATGAGAGGGCTTCTGCATGACTCTACACCTAGCTGACAAGCAGGCACTCTGGGCATCAAGACCATATTCCCAAGGAGGAGCTGAGGATTCTACAATTTGCATTGACTCTGCAGCATATATATAACAGATACTGCATATATACTGTTGTGACTCATAAGTAACCCATCACTAGATTATGAGTATATGTAGAAACAGTAGTAACAGTTATAATTAAATCAGTAGCATTTTGATTTTAGAGAAATGTAATTTCTGTGTTCCATTGAGATAGATGGCATACTTACTCCATTTGATAAGCATTCATACTTTGAATACTGCCCCCAAAGTAATTATATTATTAAATAAGGAATATGATTAAGAGTTCATCATTTTTAAAAGATGTTATTTATACATACAAGAACTGGGGTACATGCCAGAGATGTGGAGGTGGGGTGAGAGGATTTACCAGAGACAGTGGGGAACAGAACAGGCGGATTGACTGAAATACAGTGCTGAGGGGAGCAGTAGGCAGGACAGGAGAGGTCTGCTATACTGTGTGGGTCACCCCCCTGGCCAGGGATTGAAGTTGTGCTGCAGTGGCTGTGGACATCTTCATAGTGCTTTTAACCCATTGTGCCACCGGGGAGGGCCCAGGAGTTCATCTTCTAAAGTATTATTGTTTGTAAAAATATATTTGTTGAGTAGTTATCTAGCAAAAACACCAAATACTAATATGTACAAAACCCATAGCAATACAGCTGTTGCTATTGGAACTTACAGTGAGTGAATCCAACAGTCTTTTTAGACATTTCATTGGTATCTTAAAGGTATAGAAGGCTCCCTAAACACCCACTCTATTACAGCTGTTTATAATTTACTTAAATACAGATTCTGAAGGTAAGTCAGTTTGTGAGTAGAGATTAAATATAGTAATAGGCAGCAACATGAATATTCTTACAAAGGCATTATATGAGCAGAAGCAGACTTTGACGCCAGATGTTTCTTGGTTTGCTCTCAATTTCTCATTGTAATTGTGGGTCTGGTGAATATTTTAATATGTTAGAGCCTCAACGTTTTCATTTGTAAAATTAGAGCATTGTCTACCTTAACACATTGCAAGGACTTAAAGCAACTAGCATTTAATTAGTATTGTTAATCTCAGTGCTTTTGCTTAGTTAAGTATATTTCCTGACAATTCCTCCCAAAATGTTTATTAGAGGATACAAGCTCAAACCCAGTTGAAGATTCTGAAGACAATCTGCTGATTGAATCAGATGTGATAGATATAACTAAATGTAGAGAAAAAACTCCACCAGGGGGCAGATGTAATAACCAAGCAACAACATTGGATAATCTGAGTTTTAGAAAGGAGTTGGCAGTTCAAACACAAAAGCCCCAACAGGAAGTGTCTCCAGCATATCAGAACCAGCACGTCTTTTGTGATAAAGAGTTGCCAAGTGAAATCAAGAATACTTCATTTGATTGTCTAAAAAAATTCAATAAAGGGAATGTGTTTTTATTGGATGCCACAAAAGAAGGAAATGTGGGCCGCTTCCTTAATGTGAGTATATGGGCTGAGGTGTGCTTTTTTTTTTTAAGTGATTTAATAGTTTTGTGTACAAAACAGTGCATTTATCAGAGTGTTATGTTTTACTATTTTGCTCCCTTTTTAAAAAATTCCCAAGCCACAGTTATTTTTTATTTTTGTTTATGTGAATGCTTGGGATATATATAATGAGATACATTTTCATTTATAATGAGAAATGTTTATGATTCCTCTGATTATAAGGTTAACTGATGCTTACGACTACTGTTATCTTCATGATAAAAGAGGTAATTTATATTATTTGTCTTCTGTCCTGTGTTGGATAGAACTGGCATTACCTAAGTCTTTTCCATTAAACTTCTATAGTGCCACCTACCATAGTATGTGATTATCAAAAGATCTGTGGTTCCAGGAATCCTCTAGAAAAAAAAAAAAAAAAACAATTTTCAATGTCTTTATAGTCTTTGAAGAACTGGTAGTTTAGAAGTCCAGAACTACCTCATGGGAAGCTGAGCCATGCTCTGCTGCATGCCCCCTAATATGTGGGCTCTGCTTTGTCCTTGTTTATCATACCTGGAAGAGTGAAAGGAGACTTGGCAGGAGGACAAGAACTTTGATTCCCTCCAGACATCCTTTGGAAAAGACTACTGAAACAAACTCACCCTGGATGTGGCCTTAATTTTTCTCTTTGTATCAGAGCTCTTCATCCCTCTGGTAGAATTAACAGGATATGTTGCTTAGACTTTTCCCTAGGGAAAAGGGAAGGGAAGCTTACATGGCCTGTGATTCTTATATGTATCTCCCTTGATACCTCTAAGTTCAACACCTCTTTAAAATGTGACCTATGAGTAGCTTGAAATTTATGTGCAGCGTTAATTTTACATATAGTTCAGTTGCCTTCAGAAGCAGGGATATTAGATCAAAATATTTAAAAACTAAGAATATTTTCCTTGCTAAGTATAACTGCTTATTTAACTCCTTAACCTCTGTGCTACTTAGGAGGATACTTGATTAATAAGAAATAGAATCTTCTTCTTTCCTTTATCTCCCAACTGCTGTTCTCTATTCCACTCTGACTACTTCTACACTATTGCCAACATGTCAGAAATCACTAAACTTGGTAGGAGAACAATTAATGAAACATTTCCAGCAAAGGACTGTAATGGATTTATTTCCCATCTTTATTTTAATAGTAGTTATACCAGAATGATAACATTCCAGCAAGGTCTTGACATTGTAGGAGAAAAGAACTTAACTCATTCTCTCTCTCTTGCCCTCCTGCACCTCTCTTGTTTATTAATTTTTCTGCATAGATAACATATTCACATTATTTCAAAGTTGAACAAAATTAAAGACATACAAAATGCATACTATTTCTGTTTCATGAAAGATTTAAGCCTTCCAAATAGGCACCATGAGTTAAACTCACTGGCCCACTTTGAAAAAAATGTATTGGGCCCTCTCTGGTGGTGCTGCACTGTGAAGCTTAGCCAAGCTGTGGCTACGTCAGTGCAAGTTCAGTCCCCACCCCAGAGGTGTCCCACATGGCCAGCAGACCTCTCCTGTCTCCCCTGCTGTTCTCCTCAGCAGTGTACTTTGTTGATCTGCATGCTCTGCTCCCTACTGTGTCTCTGGTGAATCCTCTCACTGCCCCTGCACCTTTGGCCTGCACCCCATTTCCGTATGTATAAATAGATAAAATTTTTAAAAGAAAACATATGAATAGGAAGTTATTGAATTAAGTGTTCAAGGAATATTATGAGCATTTAATCCCTTTATGTGTGATGATAGATGAAGATGTAAAAATGGCAGCTACTGGGCAACTGAATAATACTGGAATGGTGCTAATAGGAAATAACATCATCATGTTTGAAACTTTGGGACAAGAACAAAAGATTGCTTGTGTCCAGCAGAGAAATCAGTTGCAACTCATGCCTCCTTTTCAAAGGGTTTGTTTAACTATGATGTAAAACTCAAATCTTATGCATCTTAATATTAAAACATTTTTGTTACATTAAAAAAAGAATAAATGAGAAATACTATACCTCCTCCATTCACTTTGTCCCCGTATCACTTATTATGGTAAAATTATTTTAATGAAAATAGTAGCTTTAAATAATAAGTAGTAACTTTTAGGTTTTTTCTTAAATGAGTTATGTGTGTATCATTAGGCAGACATAAGTAAGTGTCAATATATAATCCTATTTCTCCTTTCTTAACATTAAAAAAAAATATCATGTAACATGTAGGATACATCCCATGTATCCTACCTCTTGTTTTCTTAATTGACAGTATACCCTGGATATCTTTCCATATGAAATACATACCTCCTTATTATTATTATTTTTAATGCATACAAGAACTGAGGGGTAGGCCAGTGGTTGGAGCGGGTGTGGGTGAGAGGATTCACTAGAGCCACAGTGGGGAGCAGAACACACTATTGAAATACACTGCTGAGGGGAGCAGTGGTTGAGAAGGAGAGGTCTGCTCCACCATGTGGGCCACCTCCCTGGCTAGTAGACCCTGGGGATTAAAATCATACTGCAGTGGCTGCAAATGGTTTGATGGCCCAGTGTCTTTAACCCTTGCATCACCAGTGAGGCCCCCTTCTTATTTTTGTTTGTTTCTATCCGTAACTTTATATAGAATCCATTGGGCGGCTATACTAAATGTCTGTTCCCTTCAGACATTTGGTTATTTCCAAAGTTTTCTCTTGTAAGTGTACTCAGTGAATACTCTTACATGTAAACACATGTATAGAAGTACCTGTAGACTGCATTCCCAGATGTGGAATTGTTGAATCAAAGGAAACTGCATTTATAATCTAAATATGGTCAATTATAGTCTGCTGGCACTTATACCATTTTTTATTTATCAGTAAGATATAAGTGTCAGAAGCTATTCTGAATGGGTTTCTTCTATTAACAGAATTATAATGAGTTAATGTATTTTAATGTTTGTACAAAAAACGGAAGAAACAACAATTAGTGAGTTGTGTTTGAAACGGTGTGGTATTGTAATGTTTATCAAACCAGAGCATCAAACTTTATGCAATATCTAACCTGTTTGTTTTTGGCTTTTTTTTTTTTTAACAGCATAGTTGTTGCCCAAATCTTTTGGTACAAAATGTTTTTGTAGAAACACATGATAGAAATTTTCCATCAGTGGCATTCTTCACTAACAGGTTTGAATTTTTTTTCTATGATTTAATTTTACAAATTACTTTTAAAAAGGGAAAATATTGAAAAGAAGATATGTACTATAACTCCTAATATCAGGTCCCCTACAATAGTCAGTTGCCCCAAATCTGCTAATTAATAAGATTTTAAAGAGCTGAAATTTCAGTTATTTTTCCTCTGAGAGTTTGTGCACAAAAGGGATAAAAATGGCAGCTCTCACTCAGTTCAATGCAGGGAGTAAATGACCCAGAATACTACCTGTTCTTTAAGTCAGAACTGCACCTTCCTACCACAGTGCTAGCCTCATTACTTCTCAGGGTTCTACTATTCAAAAAACTTACTCCATTTCTCATGATTATTGACAGATTTTTTTTCTTAGGATGTTAGCAGATTTGAAAGTAAGCACAAATGACTAGTAAAGAGCATTCCTAGTTGGTGGGTGTTGGGAAAAGAAAAGTATTTTTGCAGATGGCTAATGATGTGAATATGAAAACTGATATAATCAAGTTATGCTCGTTTGGTAGTTTTTTGATTATTTTTAAAATTTCTCCTTTCTAGGTATGTGAAAGCAAGAACAGAACTAACATGGGATTACGGTTATGAAGCTGGGACTGTGCCTGAGAAAGAAATTCTATGCCAATGTGGAGTTAATAAGTGTAGGAAAAAAATATTATAAATCTGTAGCTAATGCTTATTTATAAAATTAACTTACCAAGCTGAAATTAGTGCCATACAAAAGAACCTTCAGTCATCAGTGGAATTAACTAAGGTTGTGATCCACCAAGAGAATTCCACTCTGGTTACCCTCATTTGGACGGGGAGGGAATGGTTTGTGTGATTTAGAAATGCTGGGAACAAAGTAAGAACATTTTCTTATGAGTATCTCTTTTTCTTTTTGCTGTTTAACTTTACATGAGTTGGATGGAAGTGTATATTTTATATGAAAATATCACTGTACAATTTGTAACTTATTTGTAAATTATATATTAAGAAAAACAGTTGTCATAGTAGAACTTAGTTCTTAGTTGCTTTTGTGATTATCTTTGAGTCAGTGCCCTGAAAAGGCCAAATTTCACATCTGTATCTACAAAATTTGTTTAATTCTTGGCAAAATAATTTACCATTATGAGCCCATATAGTGGGATACAAAGTTTGAGGAGTATGTAAAAACTGACTTTATGCTTATTACTCACAAGCAATTTAACAGTACTTGGAGAAGCATGTGCTGGGTCCACGAAGCATTGAACCATGAAACCACTTCAGAGATTATGGTGACTCTTTAAAGTGAAAACTTCCATAGCATCTCTTTATACAATACAAACACAAAAAAGTGGGACTAGAAACCTGGAGGAATTAGAATTTTTTTTTGTTATTTAGGCAAGAATTTCACTTATAAAAACAAAACCAAGCAATTCTACTGAGCTGCAAAGTCAGAAACAGTCCCTTGGACTCCCTGGACATGATGTGTAGTGTTTTAGAGAAAAAGAAGAAGAGTACTATGATTACCTTCTGTTGATCAATTAAAGGAAAAGGGACTGATCAAAATTAATTTTATCCATAACAAGATGTACTCTAGTTACCAAGAACTTCCCTCTTGGAACCAGATTACTTACTCAAAAGGGAGTAATTACAATTAGTTTTGCTTTGGGAGAGATTATATGGTAGGTTCACCCCCCCCCATTTGATTCTAATTTGTTACCTTTCAAACAAAATATACTCTACGATTAGATCTAATTTAATGTATTTGAAATTATGAACTAGATAAAATTTAACTTGCATTTCGGAGAATTGGAAACCAAAGAACTAGGAACAGGAGCAAAAGATAACAGCTTGCATATAGAGGAAGTTGAAAGTTTCTTTTAGAAGATTCATAATAAAAATGCAGGAATTTGGGTCCTCCCTGGTGGCGCAGCGGGCTAAAGCACTGCACTACAAAGGTTAAGCCACTTCCGTATGAGTTCGATTCCGCCTGCCTGGGAGGTGACCGCGGGAGGTGACCACATGGCGTGGCAGACCTCTCCTTACCTGCCCGCTGCTCCCCTCAGCAGTGTACTTCATTGATCTGCGTATTCTGCTCCCCACTCTGCCTCTGGTGAAGCCTCTCACCCTCTGCATCTCTGGCCTGTACCCCAGTCCTATATGAATAAATAAATCTTTTTTTAAAATGCAGGAATTTTAGGTGGTGCACGAACATTGATTAGTACACAATACAATTTTGTGCAGAAATCCTGACATCTCGATCTGTTTCAGTCTGTGTTGGCTCAGCATTACCATCTTCCTCTGTTCTGGAGATTCCCTAGTTTTTCTGTTTCATGTTTGTTCCACTTAATCCCATTATTTCTCTTTTTCTTGGTTTAACTCCAGAGATAGGTAAAGCGCATTCTCCAATAGCTTTTGAAAAGGAAAAAAATGAAAGACAAGTATTTTGAGACCTTGCTTGTTTGAAAATACTACTTTACTCTTCTTGATTGCTATTTTGGTAGGGTATAGGCTTCACTTACTTTCATGCCCATTTTGAAGGCATTTGCCTACAAAGGTTGCTGCTGAGAGGTCTGAAAATGTCCTTCCACCCAGGCTCCAGGATGACTGTTGGAAGTCAGATGTGATTCTATCCCTTATGTTCCCTTCATATGTAGATTTTTTTTGTCTCGAAGTTTATAGCATAGTCTTGCTCCAGCATTATTCCTCATAAGGTTCCATTTATTAAGCACTTGTTCTCAGTGCTTGGTAGAATCTCCCAATAGGAAAACTTTGTCTATCAGTTTAGGAAAATTTTCTTGACTATTTCTTTAATAATTTATTTATCTGTTCTCTTTCTAGAATTCTCTTAAGTAGATATTAAATCTCCACAATTGGTTCCCTGACTTTCTTATATTTTCACTTCCAGCTCCATCTTGCTGTACTTTCTGGGAGATGTCCTCAGCTTAATCTTCCAGTTTGTCTATTGTTTTTATTTTCCTGGTCTCATCTTTTTAATTTCTAGACCTCTCTTTTCTGTGTGTTCCTTAAGATCACCCTGTCTTTGGTTCATTTTGTGTCCTCTCTCTTAGAAAATACTATTTATTTATTTATGCATCCACATATATACATTTATAACTGTTTTTCTTTTTCCTGCATTTTCTGTGCTCCACAAAAGTTTTTTTTTTTTAAATTATAGACTTTCCTCAGTGATCTTGACTATTTATACTTAAGCACGGAATGCTAACAATTTGAGATTATAGGGGAAGAGGCTCATCAACTGCTTCACCATGACCTAGCTAATCTATTAAATTTCAGTCTTTCTAAAACTTTCTTTTTGGCCTGCCAAAGAATATTCTTACATCTCCTTATTAAAGGGCAAAAATCTTTACTGCCAGAGACTCATCTTTTCCTTGTGCAGCTCCGAAATCTTGCTTGTGCAATCTATTTATTTGACACAATTATTTAAGTTAAACTTTTTTATGTTTGTTTTCTGCTGTCCCCAGTTTGCCACCTTTCCTCTTTTTAAAATTTAAAATTACAAAATCTCTGCAAGTTCTCCTTTGATATGCTGCTTTTCCAGAACATATTTTAACTGTAATTTAATTATATGCATTTATATTACCTACATGAATATTTGTTATATGCACTGAAAAACCTCAGCTTGTATGGTGCTTTGTACCCCATGGGTGCTAAATAAAAGCTTGTGACCTTGTGACCGGCAACTGGAATTACAGTCAGTTAATTATGCATCTCTTTTGTGATACACATACTTCCCCAAACTCTTTGATAAAATTGTAGAAGAAACTGGTAACCCTTTCTGAAGAACAATCATTTCTCCTGCTGTACCCAGTGTGACCCACCTTTTCTCTGATTACTAGAAAACGGGGCAGAGTGAGGAGCCCCTGGAGTATTTTGTTAAAAACAAAAATCAAATTCAGATTCAAATCTGTAGAAGACTCATGCTCCAGTTAAAGAACCCCATCTACAAAACTAAAGTCACCTCATTGGGGACTTTCCTCTAGGTAGGGGGAAATCAGTGTAAAGATTTGACGAAAACGAAACTGTTGGTGAACTTCCTTCCGGAATCTCGGATGGAAGATTGTCAGCCCAGAGACAGCCATGGATCTCGAGTCCCCTTCCCGGACCGAGTCTGAGTACTGGTCCGAGTCGGCCAGCGGTGCTAGTAGAGCTGCTGTGGAGGATTTGCCCTACTCGTTCCCCCACCCTACTGGTGAGTGCCTGGAGGTAGGCCGGCCGGCGGGCG